GTGTCGCATGTACAGTATGTTATAAAATGGTAATGTCAAAGTCAAGTATGGCATGAATACTGGCATATTTGGTGTAACAAAAAGGGTGTTACCAAAAGAAGTAGGCTACTGCTGAACACAGGAGTGGGCATAATTACTCAGTGCTTAGTCAGACTTATAACAGGGTTCCCACACTTTTTCACACTGACAAAATTTCAAAACTTTTTCATTACTTTTTCATGACCTAAAGTGAATTTTCCGTGACTTAACAGCACCCTACATGTGTAGAATTGAACGTGCTTTTAGGGCTAAATATGAAATGTTAACCCTTTCCACTCACCTTATGGTTTGGTATTATAGTTTTTTTTGTTTTTTTTTCTTTTACAATAAAAAACAACAACAACAAAAAACTAAACTTTGAGGGGTATGATTTCAAACAAAACTGGCTTAATTTGAGTAATCACCATGGTCGTTATGACAGGGGTATTGTAGTTTTTTAACATTTAACATACTGTCAGTGAATTTATTGTCATTTATTTTAAACAAAAGGCGCAGACGTTCGGAAATAATCATAATAGTCTAATGAAAAATTAACGGAACGCTGTAGTTGCATGAAAGAGATACTAAAATTCTATGACTTTTTCAAAACTTCCATTGAACTTCCAAAATTCCATGACTTTTCGAGGATTTCTATGACTGTGGGAACCCTGTTATAAGCAAATAATCCTTAGAAAATGCCTAAACATTAAAGGGCCCAATTTTCTAATGTTTATAATGTTTTTCCTTGTCAAAACCATACCTGGACTTGTGTTTTGTTTCATTCACAATTCAGTTTCAATTCAGTTTCAGCACTGGAATTGCCAGTTTTTGTGCTGACATGAACGGAGCATGCATCTCTCTGATTGGTTAATCTGCCTGTCAATCATGCCCTCTGGATTCGGGGAGATGAGATACAGTTCCACACCCACTCGTCTCTTTTTATCAAAGTGTGTGGTTCTGTCTGGTCAGGTAATCCGTCCACCACGTCAGCACTAAACTATCGTCTCTCTAGAACGTCTTGGCACTTTTATTTCTAACCACACGACAGCGTTACGTGTAAAAGTTTATTCATTTGCAGTGTATAAAAGCACAGACGCAGACTTGGGGGAGGCCTCATGACTGAGAGCAGAGCAATGTACGGCTAATTAAAGCATTAAAAATAGCCTGGCGTGATAAATGAGGTGTCAGCAGGTCTCAGCGGAGGTACGTGTTTGGTTATGGAGCCATACGCATCTGTGTACAAGAACACGCGTTTGTGTGCATGTGTGTGTGTGTGTCTATATTTGAGTGTGTGTGAATGTACGTGTGAAGTTATCAAACAGAGAGGCTGCTGTATTTGTGTGTGTATGTGTGTGTTTTTGTGTCTTTGTGCATATATTATTCATGTTTATATGTTTGTGTGTACATGTATTTGTGTGTGTGTGCGTGTGTGTGCATTTGTGTTTGTATATGTTTGTGTGTGTATGTATTATTCGTGTGTATATGTTTGTTATTGTGTGTGTTTGTGTGTGTGCATGTGTTTGTGTGTGTGCCGTTGTGTGTGTGTATGTTTTATTTGTGTGTATGTGTTTGTGTGTGCAGTTGTGTGTGTGTCTGTGTGTGCAGTTGTGTGTGTGCATGTATTATGTGCATGTATTGTGTGTATATGTTTGTGTGTACATGTATTTCTGTGTGTGTGGTAGAGTGTGTGTATGTGTTTGTGTGTGCAGTTGTGTGTGTGCATGTGTTTGTGAGTCTATGCGTGCGTGTGAAGTTATCGAACAGAGAGGCTGCTACATTTGTGTGTGTGTGTGTTTGTGCATATATGTGTGTGTTTGTGTGCATGTATTATTCATGTGTATACAGTATGTTTGTGTGTACATGTATTCGTGTGTGCAGTTGTGTGTGTGTGTGTGGGCAGTTGTGAGATTGTCGAACAGAGAGGCTGCTGTAGTTATATGTGTATGGGTGCGTGTTTGTGTATTTGTGCGTATGTGTGTGCATGTATTCTTTGTGTGTATATGTGTGTGTGTGAGGTTATCAAACCGAGTATGTGCAAATGTGTGTGTTTGTGTGCATGTATTATTCGTGTGTATATGTTTGCGTGTACATTGTGTGTGCTGTAGCGTGTGTGTGTGTGTGTGCATGTATGTATCGGTGCGTGTGTGTGTATTTTGTGTGTGTGTACCCGTGTGTGCGATGTTATCAAACAGAGAGGCTGCCAACATTGATCTAAGCAGAACTTTAATCAAACTGAGAGTGTAATTTAATAGAAGTCCGTTAAGTTCATTATGTTAATTAACTGTGGGCTGAGTGCTATAGGGGCGATCTGGGTTTCATCTGCGCGGTCACAGTGCACAATCACTCAGCTCATAAAACACGTGTGAGTGAGAAGGCCTGGAGTCTGTCTGTGAATCCATGTTACGTCAAGTTATAGCTGCTTCTAACAAAAACTGGATTAGATAAAAGTAATATTAGAACAGGCCAATATTTGCACTTTTATCGTATTAGTTATTGACTTTAAAGCGTCCAGATTACGATGTTTTCTGATCTATGCTATAATGTTGTTTCCTCATCACAAATATACAGCGTCTGGAGTTGTGTTTTGTTTCATTCACACATGATTAACACACAAATCCTTTATTGTTGTAGCCTGATTCTTCAGCCAGTTTCACTTCGTAGAAACCGTTTGACCTGGCAGCATTAGATTTCGTTCAGTAGATGGGTACTTTTTATCATTTAACCAACTGCTGCTGTTTGGTCATGACATATGCAATGCACTGCTAAAGGGGCGAACTGGTATATAAAATTTTTCCCAAATCCCGAAGGAAGAAGGACAATAACGTCTTTTCCCTTGATAAAATTCACCAAACATTCTCTTTGTTCCGGCTTTAAATCCTCAATCTTGGGAATCGTTGACAACACAGAATGTTTGGCTCTTCACTGATTGGCTGGTGCCCGAACTTGCACTTCCGGGGGTTTTTGCGAACCGTCTATTGTATTTTGATTCCTGAAATAATCGCTGGAGAGAAATGAAATTGAGTGGAGGCACTAGGTGGCCTGGCTAACATTTTTAAGCTGAGTTCTCAGTTTTATGATGTAATTTTGTAATACAGGAAGTGCTCCACTCTCCATGCACCTTCACCAGAACCATTTGGACAATATCAGCCCTTTAACTGCCAGTCTCTAAACTCTCTGAACTGAAGATAAAAGGAGCTCTTAACTTGAAAACTACCACTACATGACATCACAAAGTGGAACAAGGCAAGACAAGACAAGGCAAGTTTATTTGTATAGCACAATTCGTACACAAAGTAATTCAAAGTGCTTTACAGAATAAGAAATACATTACAATCATAATAAAAACTAATCAAAACATAAATAATCATAAAGATTAAAAGTAAAAAAGAGAGACCTAAATTAGAGAGAAGAGTGCGGTATGAAAAACCTTTCAGTTATATGCACAGTTAAACAGAACCGTTTTGAGCCTGGATTTAAACAGCATCACAGAAGAGTCTGTCTCACATGTTCAGGAAGACTGTTCCAGGTTTTAGCTGCGTAAATCTGAAACGCTGACTCCCCTTGTTTAGTTCTGACTCTGGGCACCAGCAGGAGGCCGGTCCCTGAGGTCCTCAGAGTGTGAGATGGTTCATATGGCACTAACATGTCAGAGATGTAATTTGGCGCTCGGCCATGGAGAGACTTGTACAAGCAGAGCTGCTTTAAAGTCTCGGAGCCACAGAAGCCAGTGCAGAGACCTGAGCACAGGACTTATGTGCTCGTACCTCCTAGTTTGAGTCAGGACCCGAGCTGCAGCGTTCTGGATGTACAGAGGATGGAACAGAGCATTTTGAGCTTTGGAAATATAGACAGACTAATAATAAAGAATTACTCAAACATGTTTTTGATGAGGTAACGACATTCTAGCATGTCTTAAAGATGCACTGTGTAACTTTATGGTTCAGGGACTGTCACCTGTGTGAAAGAATTTCTGTGTTATTTTAAATATTATGAATCATTTAAAATCATAATCATTTGTGTGTGTGATTAAAGTTATCAACAATTGCGTTTTTGGGTTTTTCCATATGTATATCATATGTCCTAGTACAAGAACTGCTGCCTCATTAAGCTAATCTACTGAGTCGCCCATGAGAAGACAGCTAAGGGTTTTTCCCCTCATGTGGTTAGCATAAGTTTTTGGGAGAAAACTGGCCAAATTGTTTATCACCTGGAGCCTGTAATCAAGTGTGAAATGGGAGGGCAGTTTAGACTAAAAAATTGTTAGTATGTGATCATGTAAACACTGTGTGATATGATGTCATGTATTGTACCTTATCTGGGTCATGATTTTGAATAAATATGTGTTCGGAGAGTTGTGGGGCAGAGTAGGCCAGAGCGTAGCCAGGGGCAGGCAGTCCCCAACTCTCCTTGCGCAAGTATTACTTTTAACCGTCTTGTTTTGGTGTGTCTTCTTTAATGTAATTTGATGTCTTAGGGTAAATTCCCTGACAACCTGCTTGTTTCTGCCTGGAATATTCCACAGTATGACTTTAAACAGTTCTTTCTACCTTACATTTTATTCAGTTACAGGTGGTTTTATGACCCAGAAATACCTTGAAAAGCAGGACTCTGCATTCTGACTATGAATGGGGAGGCCTCTCCACAGATCTGACCTGTAACTTGGTCTGGTGTGGTCTCCATGAAGACAGAAAGCAACACTCCAGACAAAGCAATGGCATCTCTATGGACCCTCCACCCGAAAAGTTACACAATGCGCCATTAAAGCTCACAAGAGTCCATTTTACTGATTCATTTTGACCAGAGGAAAGATTCAACACAAAATGTTCCTATACTGTTTTTCATGTGCACCAATGAGTCAACAATGCGATTCAGATGGTTTCCTGCACATAGTGAATAGAAAATTAAAAGGAAGTTGTGGTCTTACGGTCAAGTTTCTTGTTTCAGAGCATCAAGTTTCATTTTGAACTTTATATCAGGACAGATATACACACAAATTGCCTTCACTGAAGATACAACTGAATTTAATTTGTTTTATTTATTCATTTGACTGGATTGAATGGTTTATTTTTGTATTTTGTGCGTTTTTTGCCATTTTTGTTATGGCATTCTTGTTGCTCTGTCTCTTGCAGATCTGGTCTTCAGTGATTGCAGGTTGGCAAATGTGTTTAATATGTTGGGAATGGAACATTTTAAAATTTAAAAAAATGTTATTTTAGTTTTTCCTCTGATGTGAAATACTCATTTATTTATTAATTTTTGAATATGTTTTTAATTTGTATTTATATATTTATGTTATATTTTGATGTATTTATACATTTTTGCTCTGACTTTTATTAATCGAGTGAAAATGTAAATCGGTTCTTTTTGTTTTGTTTGTTCTTTGTAGTTCTGTGTTCTTTGTGGGTGCTTTTTTCCTGCCTTTGTAAACTGAGAGGATTTTTTTTTTTTTTAATCATGATGATAATTTCTTTTTCTTTTTTTTTTTTTTTTTTCAGAAGGCGAGGTGCGTCTGGTCAGCTCTGGCTCGGTGGCGCGGTGTTCTGGCAGGGTGGAGGTGTTCCTGCACGGTGAATGGGGGACCGTGTGTGATGACGGCTGGAAAATGCTCAGTGCGGAGGTGGTCTGCAGACAGCTGGACTGTGGAACTGCAGTAGACTTTTTATACGGAGCCTGGTTTGGTGAAGGGACCGGTCACATCTGGCTGAAAGAAGTGAAGTGTTTAGGAGGAGAGAGCGCACTCACCCACTGTCCCCATAGATTGGATGTACAAAACTGTAAACATAATGAAGACGCTGGTGTGATCTGCAGTAAGTTCAGTCAATACTTTTGCTTGGACATTGTTTTTTTGTGCTTCCCCAGCTGTGGTTCTGCTGCTTGTTTTGGTACGTCTGTGGAATAAAAGTGGAGCAGACGAATCAATATAATGCTAATTTAAACAAACTAAAATGGAGCCAACAATGCCAAATAAATTAAATACAAAATAACTTGATGAAACAATAAGACACGCAGGTTCACTCATTGAAGATGAAGTTCCTGTTTTAATTCACATTTATTAATTTCACAAGTGCTTTTAAATGATTCACATCTTCAGCTAAGTTCCTCTTGTACTTCACTTTCTTTGTTAATATTGTTCAGTCCTTTCCAATAATTTACTAAAGTAACATGTTACACAGGTCACTTCTTTATATTTTTAGACAAAGACAAAACAACAGCTCCTCAAAAGGGCTGGTGATGTCGGACCCCACACCTGGAGACAAATATTAGTTTAGTTTTTTGGTAAAAATGCGTTAAACTCATCTGTTGATATGTAGGTGTAAAGGTTTAAAGAAAACACAACTGTGAACGGAACGAAAGATAGACCACAAACATGTTTTTGCCCTCATTAGGTTTTGATAGCCTGAAAATGTCTAAATATGTTTACTGCCATAACACAGAACATTCTAGACAAAGCAAAAACAGCTCCATAGAGACAAGCAGGTGGCACCTTCACCAGAAAAGTTGTACCTTTTATGTAGTTTCGACTGCTGCCATCCATAATCGTTGATGGTCCTTTTGGTCTTTTTCAGTGAAACCTCCAGAAATCTTTGCAGAGATCTCTTGGGGTCAGATCAGTGTCACCTGCTCCATGCCCTCAGCCTTCACAGGAGGACTTATGGTTCTTCTGGATCACAGCAATAAAACTCTACAAACTTCAAAATCAAACCCTGCCACATTCACCTTCCCTCGAGGCGCCTATGACAAAGATACAGTGTTCAAATGTTTGTATCAGGAGCACATATTAAAGGTGTACACGTCCACTCCAAGTGCCTCTGTCACTGCAGTGCCACGAGGTAAGTGCACTTTAGAGGTTTTGTGTCCTCTATGTGTTAGAATATTGTTAAAGAGAGGGTACTGTAAAGAGAGTACTGTGCAATCAACTTTCTTGGAGCTTTCCACCATGTTACTTTTGAAAAAGAGATTTTGATCTTTTTTTTCCTCTTTTTTTTTTCTCACTGTTTAAATAAAGGTTGATAAATGAATGAAATATAATATAATAATATACAATAAAAACATGCAGAGGTTTAGATGTTATCCATGTATGTTTGAATTATTTAGTGATCTGTAATGGTTACCAGTACAATCCTATCCAAAGCTCAGTCCACGTTACATATGCTACAGCAAGGCAATTATCCATAAATATACAAATACATGATAGAAAACAACAAATTATATTTGTGATAACTGAGGCTAATATAGGCTAAGCTTACTGATATGGTATATATAATTAACAGTTTTTGCTCTTTTACTGAAATCACGTAAAAAATACACTGTGTATCTGCGGGAAACAGTTCGATGTGCCATGAGAATATGAGCATTGTTTTTTTTTCAATTAAAAGAAGAACATGAATCTACAATCTATCGATGTAAAATAAAAACTGGTGCGAAGACTGAATAGTGTGTCTTAATGGGACTGGAAACATTCCTAGTGCTCCAGATGTCCAGTCCTGACTCTGTCCAAATTCACCCTGTCAAACATCTAGCCTAAAATCCGACAGCTTTTTTCACCTTGGGCCTGAGTTTGGTCACTTTCACACCTCACTGTAGGGAGACTCAGTGCCCAGTCTCTCAGTGGGATTCAAGCTCTCGGCTCTGGAGCAGACCAGACTGAAAGCTCTTCGGATCAACCTGTTGTAAAAAGCCCTTGTGAGGAGGCCTAGTTTTGGATGGTGATCATGTGTGTACCTGTTTGCAGTTCCGAAGCCGGTGGTCGTCCCCTCGGCTGCTGGAGGTGCGCTGCTGCTCCTGGTTCTTCTGATCGTAGTCGTGGTGGTCTACAGGAGAAGATCCACGAGGCAGAGTCTGTTCTCACGATACACAAACTATGGCTAACCTATTGAAACTTTGCAGCCGACGTCAACAACATTCCCTGGGGGTGTAATTCTAACTGTGGGCATGCTGTGTCTGAGGCTGTGGTAGACTTTAATCTAGGCTTTTCTTTAACAGAATCTGACCCTAAATTGTTGACATAGCTCGAATAACAATATGTGAGATGATTTTTACTGCCAAACACATAAATGCGGTGCCATCATGACATCACTACAAAGTGTCAAACCAAACAAATCTATTCTCTGCTCTTAACCTTTGTTTTTTTTTTCAGTCTGCGTTGGTTGTCGAAAAGTGCAAGTCCAAGATGATTATGAAAATGTTTATGAAATTATGAAAAAGGCAGATAAAGGTACGCACACATTTATATAAACTAATATGAAATAATTTAGGTTCAATCAATGTATTAACCATCATTCAAATCTCAAACTGGTGTCATCTTTTGTGGTTTCATTCACACATGTTTGAGTCATTTCTGGATAATATCTGTAACATGTGCTCCTAGTGGGTCAAAAATGGCCGTGTAGTTACGAGTGAACCTGGGAAGCTGTCAGATGTCACATACTGGCACAAATCTGGAACATAGAGAGTCCTTCTGGGGTTATTGCAAGCTGGTTTTAGTCGTAGCATCTGGCAACCAAAAGAGAGGAGCTCATTCTGCTTTGAGAACATCATTCTATATCATGGAAAATCAGTGGACCCAACCTTTTTTGTACCACAGACCGGTTTTATGTGTGTGATGATTTAGTCCTGGTTTTAGACCTGGTTTAGACCTGGATTTAGACCTGGTTTAGAACTGATTTTGTCCTGGTTTTAGTTCTGGTTTAGTCCTGGTTTTAGTTCGGTATTGGTTCTGGTTTTGGACCTGGTTCAGAACTAATTTTATTCCTGTTTTGTTTCTGGTTTAGAGGCACGGGAAACGTGAGGAGATGCGGTCCGTGTGACATGGTTTAGTCCTGGTTTAGTCTTGGTTTTAGTCCTGATTCCAGTTCTGTTTTAGTCCTGGTTTAGAACTGATTTTAGTTCTGGTTTAGTCCTGGTTCTAGTTCTGTTTTAGTCCTGGTTTAGAACTGATTTTAGTTCTGGTTTAGTCTTGGTTTTAGACCTGGTTTAGAGCTGATTTTGGTCCTGGTTTAAGTTCTGGTTTAGTCCTGGTTAAATCCTGTGGTTGAGTCCTGGTTTAGACCTGGTTTAGAACTGATTTTAGGCCTGGTTTAATCCTAGTTTTAGTTCTGGTTTAGAGGAGTGAAAAACACGGGAAAACGCTCCTGATGTAAATGGTTTTGTAAAAGAGAAGCAAGTATTGGAGCATGCCATGTTTACTACATATCTAAGGGCACAGCTGCTGGTTTTAATAATGTAGAAAAAATAATACATAAACTTTTTTTTTATTATTTATTTTTTATTATAGACAAACACAAGAAGATCAGACTTCACACTCAACCAAACATCACATCTATACCCACTCATACTTAATACAGATCCATAAGGAAAGAATTTGTAATAATAATAACATAAAAAAACACAAATTAAGAAACTAAACTCTTAAAAAACTCTTGGCTAATTCCCAATACACAATGAATGGAGCGGGAAGCTTATTTTGTCACGTAGTTGTATTTTTTCTGTTGTGTTGGTGGACAGATGTACAGAAGCCGAGAGGGGTCGCAACAAACGCCGCAACAAATACAAATACGACAAAAAGCACAACAAACCAAAAAAAGCCACAACAGAAATGACCGCGGGTAGTTTAATGCAGACGCCGCAACAAATACAAACGTTACAACACAAACGCAAATGCTGCAACACATTAAAAAGTCACAACACATCAAAAAGCCACAAAGGAAGTGACCGTGGGACTCTATTTTCCAACGGACCGATCAAGCGGCAAGTGAAGAAGAACTACAACGTGAAACGAATGATAAAACAATAAATTACTTTTACTTACGTTTCCAACTTTTCCGTTCCTTTACTTTTCACGTTGTAGTTCTTCTTCTTCACTTGCCGCTTGATCGGTCCGTCGGAAAATAGAGTCCCACGGTCACTTCCTTTGTGGCTTTTTGATGTGTTGCGGCATTTAGGTTTGTGTTGTGGCGCTTGTATTTGTTGCGACCCCTCTCGGCTTCCGTACAGATGGGTGTAGTACAGCTTTTCACACTTATCTTTGTTTGTTTCTCAGTCGTTAGAGCTGGACGTGCAGAAGTTCACGATGAGGCCCGCTATTCTAACAGAGTTATAGAGAACGACGATGACGATTATGAAAATGCCGGTTATGAGGAGGGACATGAAGAAGGTACAGAGATTTTTGTAATTGTGTGTGTGTATATAGACAGCCGTAGGATCCGTAGCGCCTCGTGGTGGACAGAATGATTGTCGTACAGCTTTTAACCTTTCTATTTTTCAGGCTTCGTTGGTGCTGGGAGTAGGCTGGGAGATCATGATGAGGTCCGCTGTTCTAATGCAGATTCACCAAGTGGCATCGAGTATTATGGAAACATCAGTCAGGAGCTGGAGGATGGTTTTTATGGAAATTGTTAAATATCATAATTTGTATATATAATTGTACATTGATAAGGATTGTTTCTGGATTAAAATCTAACCAGGAGTTGTGTTTTGGTGTTTCTTTCACACCTTTAAGTAATTATTCTTGGTATAAATACTGTATTTTTTAACCAACAACTGCTGCGTTGCCTTTGAGGCCTATTTTCAGATCTATGTTAATGATGTTCTCATCAAAAACAACCTGGAGTTGTGTTTTGTTTCACTCGCACATGTTTAACACACAACCTCTGTATATGTAGGCAGATTTCTTCTCGGAAAACACTCTGTTTCAATTTGTGGTGCCATGTGGTAATACAGGAACTGCTCCACTGTGTTTTTAAACTCCACATAGCTTCACTAGGGTCATTAGGATGATTTTAGCCATGAAATTGCCAATCTCTACAGAACTAAAAGTAAAAGGTAGCGGTTAAGTCCTTTTTGGCTTTGGAGAGTCCAGTACCTGACTTTTGTCCATTGCCTCTGAACAGAATATTGTATAAGCAGCTCTTAAGGTCAAGACAGGATAATCAGGAAGCGTGTAGTAGCATGCTAGTTTTTGCTAACTCATAGCATACACCAGAAGAGTCATCAATGCGAGGTATGGGAGAAGACGAATCCACACGGTGTACATGAGAAGACAAGGTCCACGCAGTGTACGCAAGAAGGCACATCCACACGGCGTATGGGAGGAGACACGGCCCACATGGCATACAGGAGGAAACATGGGCCACGCAGCATACGGGAGGAGACATGTCCACTCGGCATACGGGAGAAGACGCGGCCCAAGCGGCGTACGGGAGAAGATACATCAACGCGGCATATGGGAGAAGACATGTCCATGCGGCGTATGAGAGAACATGTCCACGTGGTGTACAAGAGAAGGCACGGCCCAAGCGACGTACGGGAGGAGGCTCAGTCCACATACAAGGCAAAAAGGTGACACTCCAAACTATTAACAAATTATTAGCATGCTAGTTTTTGTTAACTTTATCGTCACAGCAAAACTCGAATCTGGTTTTGGATTGCGCTCATAAATTTATCACAGTGAATAATTCAGACGCTCAGGATACATAAGGTAAGTGAAGAATAACACTGGACCTCTGCAAACTGTTTAAAATGAACTAGTTACCAGGTACAGCACCTTTAAGCTCCACTTGCGTTTTTTTCACAGCAAATTGAAATTATGGTGGGCCACAAATGTGCTGCCAGTCCTAAAGCTGCTTACGTATAGGTTTATAAAAGAGACTTTAATATCCATATACAGACAGTGTGCAGTGGTCTCATTTTGTCCCAAAGTGTGACTAAAGTGTGTGAGCTTTTACACTCGCAAAAAATGTAATTAACTTATCTACAAGAATACAGTCCTGCAGCCCTGCTTTTATGTTAATATCTGTAACGTGCTCCCACTGGGTTAAAAATGGCAAGGCAATTACATCTGAACCTGGGAAGCCATCAGCTGTCATGTACTCGCACATACCACAGAGAGAGCCCTTCTGGGTCTATTACAAGCTGGTTTTAGTCGTAGGATCTGGCACCTAAAAGAGAAGAGTTCATTCGGCTTTCTGATCGGATATTTGGCTTGAGAATGTCACGTAATAGAGAAGAATTCAGTAGTTAAGTAAAAAAAAAAAATCAATATCTGTGCAAGTTTTAATATAAGTATCTAAAGACACAAAAACTGTTCCTTAAAGGGACTGTAAACAAAAATCAAAAGAATTCATTTCACACTGCACTTACTCTATACATTACGAGCTTCCTAATAGCTGTAGTTATAAAGTTTATAAGTGCTTTTCCCCAACTTCCAGAGGTTAGAGATGAGTTTTCGCTGCCACGGGTAATGCTCGCAACAACTAGCATGCTAATTTCTTGTTTAAATGGATAACTCTGGGCTCAGACTGCAGGCAGAACAGCTCTGGTCCAGTGGTCGTTGTAAGGGGGTCAGCACTATGTTTCCACAGCTCTATGTTCCCTCATTTCTAAGATTCTTCTCAAAATGAAACTCCAGTTCAAGTCATTTTTATTTTTAGGGATGATTCAGGGTCACATCAACTTAGGATCTTTGACACCATGACCTCTACATGACATCTGTAGTTAACTGGATAATAGGTTGTAATTGATGACCAAATTGGGAGAAATGGGGATAAAATCTGATGCAAATTGATGTTTAAGTAAATGTGAGAGAAACATACGACCTAATTTTGTAAAGAAATAAACAACAACTTAGAAATGAGGGAACACAGGGCTGAGGGAAGATAGGCACGCTCCCTTCATAAGTATTCTGTTTATTTAAAAGAAGTGAGAGGAGCTCAGACCACAGGCCGTGCAGTCCGGTGCCGGTGGAGGTGCGCTGTGTTCCGAATCCTTACCACTGGGAGTTTATTTTTGTCGGACACCAGAGGAACTGCAGCCTTTTCACTTCATAAATGAATAGTTCTCACGGTCAGACGGTGACCACCACAGTGCAGCAGTTCTCTGTTCTGAGTGTCACAATGAAAGTTCCCCAACACTACAGTCACAGCTGGACCTGGTGGACTGTAGTCTGAGTGAGGAGTTGGATGCAGACAGCTCACACGTACTTGGGCAAAGTAATGGGATACATGGAAAAAAATTGTGAACATTAGGGCCTGTTAACAGGAGAACACTTGCGGATAAAAACTACAAAATATTTTATTGGAAGTGCCTTTCTTTTGGACAGTGATGGCGTTTTTGGGGCTTAAAAACGCTAAAATCTGAAACCACCTTCTAGAGAGGAAAAGATGAATATGCTCCGACGTAGCGTTTTCGTCTACACTGCCCAAGACGCAAAACTCTGGTCAGATCTGCTCACGTCGCGTACGCATTTACGTCACATACATATACTACACAGAAACAAACATGTTGAATAATTTCCATGCGTCGAACCTTCAAGTTGCTCTGGCAGCTCTAATAAACTTACAGGAGGCTCCCAACAAATGTACAGAATATGCAAAATACAGAAGAATATCTCTCTGTATTTGTTATGCTGGTACAGCGATGAATCTGGATTTGTCCAGGCAACGAAGATACTATTAGTGGACAAAGAAGGATGCAATTACCTCTTAATTCTGGGTGCACCAGTTAGTCGCAGGCGAGTCAGGCGGATATGGACGAGACCTGGGAGATCCAGTCGGTGGTGGGACAACTTTGTGGAAGGTGTCGCTGATGAAAATGTGTGGCGTGAAAATTTCTGTATGTCCAAAGACGCCCATGTTGCTTTAAGTACAAACATACCCAGTTGAACTCCTTACACTTTTGCGTCACTGTATGCACGCAGATTTCATCCTGAAAAAGCTTGTCTAAACACAGAATAAAAAGTGAAGACGCGACGCCACTTTTGCATTTTCTGTTCAGACCGTCATCATATAAACGTAGCCTTAGTTGGAGGTATTTTTTTCTCATTTGTCAGACTTGGCTGGAACAGTATTCTGTCTGTATTACATGATCTTTTCCAGTTCCCACTTTGTAGCATATGTAACCCATAATATGCTAATCCTTTATATGAACATTAAATTATCTCCAATGGCCTAAGTCCTATCATACATTTCTCGTCCAAATGAGCATAAACTAGACTGATAGCGTGTTCTCTCCCATATGGCTGAGTGAGCTCCGGGCACGGCACTGGCCACTAGCGCAGTCTGGATGTAGCGTGTGAACAAATGAGTGTGGCATGTGACTGTGAGCTGCACTTGTATTATGAGCTTTACGGTAATGAGCCCTAATTGCACCACTGCCTTTTACCATCCGACATGATTATAGTGACGCTGCAGATATGCTAATGATGTTAATGATGCTAACGCGCTCATCGTTCTCCCTCCCCCTGAGGTTGTTATCGCGCCACAGCGGCCTAATCCAAGTTTAAAGAGCTCGTTGTATAACAAGTCAAAGCAGTCAGTTACAATCATTTGGTGATATTGGCTGGTGTCTGTGTGTTTTTTCTTTTTTAATAACCCATTGTGTTAAAGGTGCAGTATGGGTGGTCGACACCTGCTATAGTCTCCAGGGAGATATACATTTTTTTGAAAATAAAATCCAATTTTTAAAAGTGGAAACATTTTCTTAGGCTATGTTCAGACTGCAGCCTGAAGTGACCCAAATCCAATTTTTTGGCCCCTATGTGACCTGTATCTGATCTTTTAATGACACTTGGATATGTGCTCCTAAAACCGATACATATCTGATCTTTTGACATGCGACTTCAGTCTGAACGGCCAAAGCGCATTCATCCGACCTACACATTATCACCAAGCCACAAACGTCACTAGTCTGCGCTGCAGTAGGAGAAATTGTTAATGAAATTGTTAATGAACTCCGTGTCACTGAAGTGAAGCACATCGCCACTCACCACTCTTGGCTACGTCTCCACATCCACACGTTCCTTTCAACGGCCGTTGCTGCCGCTGTCCCACAAAACACCACGGCCAAAAACCTCGTCCTTCTCCTTCTCAATCTCCTCCTTAAAACAAGTAAGTTGTTCATGTTCTGGCTCTGGTACAAGAGGAACTTTAAAATCGCCAGGTGCTCAATGCTCGCGTCCATGTTTGGACAACTTCCGTAAACACAGAGCATGTTCACTGCGGTTGATGTTGTTGTGTCCTCCAGTGCGCATGCGGGACACTTTTGGGATGTTTAATGTTCACACTGGGGATCACATACAAGTCGCATTTAATTGGAAATGTAAACGACCTCGCAAAAACATTGGATTTCACAAAAAAATTCGAATTGAGCGTTAAGCCCTGCAGTCTGAACGTAGCCTTAGTGAGTGGGGTCACCTCTCCACAGATCTGACTTGTAACCTGATCTGATGGTGTGACCTGCTTGACACCATGGAGATAATGTGGAATGTGGAACATTTTACAGAAAACAATAATTTATCCATAAAAACAAGCAACTTTGAGACTAGCAGCTATTGTTTTATTGCCTTATTTAGCCTAAAATTATAATATAATCAAAAAATGAAGAAATATGTGTCATATAATCAA